AACCCGGGCCGCCACGGTGGGAAGCCAGCGAGTAACCGCTTGAGCTATGACGCGGCCAATATTCGAGTGTAAGTTCGGAGACTTCCATTTTATAACGTACTCCAGCTACACTGACAGCACACGAAATGGCGTTCTAGTGATCAAGTCTTTAGAAGTAAAACTTTCAAAGATATTGTTCTTGTAGAGGATGTGTACACCCAAATTTAGGCTGTAGGTTGTTCTATAATAAGCCTTCATTACGCGTGATCTTTCTTTCTTCGCTGTCAGCCGAGGTCCAAGCAGTGTGGGGCGCAGTGCCATTAAACAGCTGAGCATATGAAGAACAGATGTGATTCACTTATTTCCCGCCAGGAGGAGACGAGTCGGCAAGGAGAGTATGATGACCCTGTGAACTTTTCAGCAGCAACATTTTCAGGTGTTGCCGGAGCAAGCATAACGAAGCTGAACATCCTCCAAGTTTCTGTATAAACCTATAATCTAAACATAAATAGCTTTCCAGAACTGGGTTACTGTAATAAACGTGATCAGATCTATAAACCATAACTAATCTGCTTCATCATATCACAACGAAAGCGAAATTATGGCAGAACTAGCATTACATAATCAATATCTCTGTGCCTGATTGCAGAGTGTGAAAGACCAACGTATGAAGGGCTGTGAAAATATGTTTGTATTTGCCTTTATGCTCAAATACGTCTCGAATTTCTGAATCTATGTTCCTACCATTAGATTAATCTCTTAGACATTAAATCGAATGGAGACTAAATTCCAAACAAGCCTCTATCAAAACCCCATCAGCGTCCGTTCTTATTAAGACTAAATTTCCTTAAATGAATAAATTTCACAAATTATAAAGCAGACAAGCCCAGGAACAGCAGAAAGGTGCAGAGGTTTATTAATGTTTGTAAATAACCAAAATTGTGCGATATGACCTCGTGCCGTTCGGTACATACTCTCGAATATACAAACTGCTTCCATCTGTAAGTGACCGCCTCTGTGATCTAGTGGTCAGAGTTCGTGCCTACAGATCCAGAGGTCCCTGGTTCAATTCCCGGTGCTACCAGATTTTCTGAGAAGTACGTAGTGGGTCTGGGACGGGATCCACTTATCCTTGTGAGTATAACTGAGGAGCCGTTCCAAGGAAATAGCGGCTCCGGTCTAGAAAACTGAAATTAACGGCGGTAGGGATCCGTTGCGCTAACCAGGCGACACCCTCTATCTGCAAAGTTGGGACTAACTTCACCGACAAGCGGCGGTTACTCGGTCCGTATAATTTGCTTGCGGACTACAGGCCACGGATTTTTTTTTTTTTTTCCATCTGCAAGCTCGAAGATGTGTTAAAGAAGTAATGAGCTTCCCCTTTCCTTCTTGTTCTTTGCTTCATCAGCATATGTCAAACCCTGAAACAGCAAATACGATGCTTGCTTAGCATATCTTCAACCCTGAAGATGGAGGCAGTAAGTTCATTTGAAACGTAGGAAATCCATCGGACTACTCGGTGTCACATGTCAGGAGGTAATACTCTTCGTAGTTACCGTTGTGAGAACCTAAAATCCAATATAACAAAAAACTTTTTGAGCGGGGAATTTACGACGCTATCGGAAGCCAGACCATATAGGGTCGAATGATTACGTGATGGATTATTTGGGAAGAATAATGAACGAGCTGGATGTGGCCTAATCGCAGAATTATCTCGGTATTTGCCTCTAGAAAGTGAGTAAAATCATGAAAACCTCAGTCCGCATGGCCGGTTTTTCGGCCGAGATTCGAACCGAGCACCTCCCAACTCGTCAAGTTGTCAAGATTGCTAAAAATCGTTTTAAATGTTTATTAGAAGAATCACCTAATTTGTCCTTCGGGGAACAAGAAAACTAGACGGACCTCAACAGCCCATAATGTAAACATGGCGGCCGAAGGAGGACACTGTCTAGTGCGAGCGGCAGGACTCCAGTTCCGTTTCCAGTCCCCATTTTGCGCACGCGCGAGTGTGTGCCTACTCTGTTTTGTAGTTTACAGCAGCGGCGCGCTCGTGTATTCCCACCCTTAAATAACGGCTAAATAATAGTTGGATACCAGTGTATGGAGGATACTGCTGCAGCTGTCTTCACTGTAGAAGAATTCTTAATTCTATTCTGTTCCAGCTTACGTCACTCAACGGTGACGATCTACATTTTTATCCCGAAGATACTTCTTAATCTCAGCTAGGCGATCAGCTGTCCGTAGTGATTATCTTCGTGTTTTTCCTCAGCCTCTACACAAGCATCGGGATAAACGGTAAAAGAGGTAAAGTTGTACCTGTGCTTAACTAATTAAGCACTACGCCATGAAGGTGTATAGAGGGAATGGATGTATAGATGCACATTTTCTTGACCTCGGCACTAGTTGGAGGTGAGTTGTCAGCTTCACGCCGCGGCCGCTTTACCCCCTCGGAGAAAAAGCTCCCAGTATCTACTGGATAGGAGGTTGGGTGGGCCCCAGAGCCGGTCTGGATGACGTGGAGAAGAGAAAATTCTTGACCCTACCAGGACTCGAACTCTGACCCCTCGGTCGTCCAGCCAGTAGTCAGTCGCTATAACGACTACGCTATCCTGCCACCTTAAGTATCGGGGTAGTATCCTAAAAGAGGCAAGGAAGGCTCTAGAATCCCTCCCCGCACAGAACCACGTTAACATATTTTTTAACCATGATGTCGGTGCGAGTCTATATATAGTTTCTTTGGTAGGATGATTAGTGGATATGGAGCAGTTGGTGGAATGAGAATTGGCACGGAAGTACTCAAGAGGAAACCAGCCCCTGTGCCAGTTTGTTCGTCACAAATCTCACATGAGCTGGAATCAAACCTGGACCGCACCGGCGACTCTGAAGATGGTTCTCGACATAAAAGGCGTTTAACCTGAAGGGATGTAACGTAGGCCACGCTATCTTCAGCTCGTGTATCTGACCACTTTCGGTCTGTAAGTCTAGCACAGTAATCAGCAGTTTTGTTGTGTCAGAATTGCATGGCCGGATTCATCTTTCTGGCTTATTACTTCTTGTCCGGCCCAGTCAACTGCTCTTTGTACAGAGGCCCCAGGGTAGAACTAGTCCAAACTATGAAATTGCTTGGTGGAGCCGTCAGACTGCCTTACCACAATAAACACAACGATAATTCATACATTGCTGGATCTGGTTCATAAGGTTTCTAACAGGCATCCAGAGTCGTTTTTTAAATAAATTGAAATTCAAGCAATACGAAGATAAAGTAGTGTTCTTTTATGTCGGGCTTATTTAACGATGCTCGTGACCGGACCAGAAAGCAAACCAATTCCACCGCGAAAGATATTTCGGAAAAAGTAAATGGTTTCTTGTGTGTTCAAAAGCTTCAATGTTCTGACGATACTTGGAAATGTTCCATAAAAGCCTGCCATTGTATCATAGGAAGTGGGAGTTTAAATCTAATCTACTCGTATTCATTGACACATTATTTCTGCGTTTAATATTATCCTTTTATCTGTACCAAATCTCCAAAAGTGTCCTCTTTCGTTCATACTTCCGAACTAAAACTATTATGTATTTAGTATTTTATTCATATATGCTACATTATCCCATCCTCCTTGACACAACAGCCGTAATAATATTAAAGTAAAGCTATCCCTGTAACAGGCCACTGAGGCCCATAGGGTTGTGAGACGTCGAGGCCCCCACATTTTCTAGATAATGGGCTGGCAGATGGTGGTGAGGTTTTAGCCTTATACGCCGTCCCCCCTTTACCCCTCAGGAAGATTCCTGCTACTCATTTCTGTTAGAGGCTGAGTTGAACCCCGGGTCATAGTGCGGTTGGAAGGAAAAAGTCAATTGAAAAACTCAATCACCTGATCGGCAATCGAGCCCACAACCTTCCGGCTGTATAATTCCTCAACCAACTACGCTAACGCGTGCCCCGTAATAATACTAGGTGACGAGTAAACTGTGAAACACCTCATTTTGCAATTTTCTGCAGACTACATTTATTCGCATTTATTAGGCAAATCATATATATGCATAAAACAATAATTTTGTCGCTTACTTTGTAAGGACGTGATGTATGAATTATTTATATGGGATGCTAAGGCAGCTTTGGAGAATACAGATTAAATTACAAGCAGAGAAAAGAGAAAAACGTACAGCGTCCGAATTCTCTCCAACATTTTCGTCAAAATCTGGCAAAGGAGCTAAAACGTACGAGTCGCATAGTAAGTTAATTTAAGCCTAGGGCGTAAAAATGGGTCAGGCTAACTAACTAAACTAATTCCATGGAGCTGAGGCTTTCTCGAGAAGCTGCCAGTCGTTCAGTTAGTCAAGAATTTCCCAAAACTGTATATAACCCTAAGTTTCATCATCTGTTCACAAGAGCCCTCCACTGGTCCCTATCCTAAGCCAAAATCAATCCAATCAATGCCACCAGATCCTCCCGCCTAATTTCAGGTCTTCCTAGTGGTCTCTTTCCTTCCCCAAATAAAAAAAAATATTATACAAAAGTAATATAGGTCTGTCAGGCATAATTTAATCTAAATCAGTCCTAGAGTTTTGATGTTTTCGGTTGGAGGGACG